TTTCTTTCACCATACTTTTCTCTTCCCCTCATTCTGGTGTTAATCTTGGTTTCATCAGTCCAGAGAATCTTATTCCAGAACATGGGAGGCTTTTTAGAGGTTTTCTGGCAAAGTCTAATCTGGCTTTCCTGTTCTTGAATGTTACCAGTGGTTTGCACCTTGTTGTAAACCCTCTGTATTTACATTCATGAAGACGTCTCTTGATTGTAGATTTTGACAATGATACGCCTACCTTCTCCAGAGTATTCTTGACTTCTGTTGATGTTGTGAAGGGGTTTTTCTTCACCAAGGAAAGGATTCTGCAATCATCCACTTTAGTTGTCTTCCGTGGTCTTCCAGTCCTTTCGATGTTGTTGAGCTCACCAGTGCTTTCTTTCTTTTTAAGAATGTACCCAACTTTTGATTTTGCCACACCTAAGATTTTTACTATCTCTCCTATAGATTTATGTTGTTTTTCAGCCTAATGATGGCTTCCTTCACTTGCATTGAGATCTGCTTGGACTTCATATTGGTAGCTCCAGTCAAACAGCTGCCAAATGGCAACTCAATACCTGACATCAACTCCAGACCTTTTATCTGATTCATTTGTCTTGAAGTAACGAGGGAATGGACCGCACCTGGTCAAATAACTTCTTGTCAGTCAACTATCCAAATACCTTTGTGCCCCTGAAAATGGAGGTACTTTGCTTAAAATGGCTGTAATTCCTAAATGGTAAATGCCATATTTTTGTGGAACCTCTTAAAATAAAGCTGAAAGTCTACACTTCGATCACATCCTGATTGTTTTATTTCAAATCCATTGTGGTGGTGTATAAAGGCAAAATCACAAAAACTCTGTCATTGTCCAAATACTTCCGGAACTGACTGTATATATATAGAGGAGACATTAATTTAATATTTTTAGGAAGGGTCTCCAGTGTCAGTGCTTTCTGACACATGAGACTTCAGGACAGAGAGCTTTGCACTTGGTAACATGACAAGTTACATGTTTTTTTATCTTATTAACTTCAAGAGACAGAAAAGCTGGCGTGAGAATGCATTTTATAGCTATATAAGTTAAGTAGAACTAACTTGTTTTGTGGGTGTTTCATAACATTAAATACAACTACACACAGATAAAAAGTATGATGTGTTGTTCTGTAATCAATAAAAAACAAGGGCCTTGAGTTCCTGAATATGAATGTGTAAGTAACATCTCTGTCTGACAAACAGGAAAACTATTTCAGACATTTGACCTTGCTGTGACCTTAACCCTGTTAGGATCAATTCCAAAATCTAACCAGTTCATCTGCTGGTTACAATAATAATTCCACATAAATCCTACACACACTCATCCACTTGTTCTTGAGATATCGTACTAACGAGGATCTTGGATGGATGCAAGCATGGACAACCCCGAAAACCTAATGCCTCCACCAAAATGTAATGTTTGGTAAACTGCTGTGGTATAAAGAGAATAAAACACTCATTTCTTACTTAAGAAGCCACTGACACCCTGATTTATTTATCCTTACAAAAAGATCTAATGAACTGGAGCAGTTTAAGTGGCGCTCACCTTGAGAATGAGCTGCTTGAGAAAGAGGAGCATGAAGGCACGCAGAGAGATGATCTCCTTTTGTGTGGGCCGTGGACCATCTGCAAAACACACACACACACACACACACACACACACACACACACACACGGTTACAAATGCAGTCATTTTAAACAAATCAGATAGTACTGACATTGTGCAAGCACCTGGCCCAAACCACACACACACACACACACACACACACACACACACACACAAATAAAATGCAGAGTCAGAACTAACAGCAGTGCAGTCCAAAGCTTTTACTGTCCTTTGTAAATGAAGACATTTTAAGATGCACTGTATAGAATGTCCCAAAAGACCGGAGTTTAAGTGTCTGTCATTGTTTTAAGCCGTCTATGCTCTTCTGGTCTTAAACTAAGCTCAAGATGGGATGTGTACACACGCCTGAGTCTCAGTACATTAATAAATTCACTAAATATGGAGCCTCAGAAGTGTTGCATTGATTTTCCTCGCACACCCGCAGAGTCCGTGCTCTCTGTGGTGCCTGTGTTTTGCTGGCTCTTAAAAATCAGACAGTATGGTTTCCTTAATAAAAGGATATAAACAAGCTTATCAAATAATAACAACCATACCAATGCACAAAACACAGTCGTCGTAAATGTGCAGATGAGAAATGGCCACACACACACCAGCCATAACATTAAAACCACTGACAGGTGAATAACAAATAATGAATAACACTCATTATCTTGTTACAGTGGCACCTGTCAAGAGGTGGGATATATGAGGCAGTAAGTGAAGTCAGTTCTCAAAGTTGATGTGTTGGAAGCAGGAAAAATGTGCAAGTGTAAGGATGGTTCAGAGCATCTCCAAAACGGCAGGTCTTTTGGGGTTTTCCTGGTATGCAGTGGTTAGTACCTACCAAACGTGGTCCAAGGAAAGACAACAGTTGAACTAATGATAGGGTCATGGATGCCCAGGGCTCATTAATGCGCATGGGGAGCGAAGGTTAGCCCATCTGGTCTGATAAGAAGAGCTAATGTAGCACAAATTGCTGAAAAGGCTAATGCTGGCTGTGGTAGAAAGGTGTCAGAAAACACAGTGCATCGCAGCTTGCTGTGTATTGGGATGTGTAGCTGCAGACCAGTCAGAGTGCCCATGCTGACCCCGTCCACTGCCAAAAGTACCTGCAATGAGCACATGAGCATCAGAACTGGACCATGGAGCAATGGAAGAAGAGCAATGGTCTGACAAGTCACGTTTTGTTTTATATCATGTGGACAGCTGGCTGCGTGCGCGTCACTTACCTGGGGAAAAGATGGCACCAAGATGCACTATGGGAAGAAGACAAGCCAGCAGAGGCAGTGTGACGCTCTGGGCAATGTTCTGCTGGGAAAGCTTGGGTCCTGGCATTCACATGGATGTTAGTTTGACACGTACCACCTACCTAAACATTGCTGCAGACCAAGTACACCCCTTCATGGCAACAGTATTCCCTAATGACTGTGGCCTCTTTCAGCAGGATAACGTGCCCTGCCACACTGCAAAAATTGTTCAGGAATTGTTTGATGAACATGACAAAGAGTTTAAGATGTTGACTTGGCCTCCAAATTCCCCAAATCTCAATCCAATCGAGCATCTGTGGGATGTGCTGGACAAAGAAGTCCGATCCATGGAGGCCCCACCTCTCAACTTACAGGACTTACAGGATCTGCTGCTAATGTCTTGGTGCCAGATACCACAGCACACCTTCAGAGGTCTTGAGGAGTCCATGCTTCGACGGGTTTTGGTGGCACAAAGGGGACCCACACAATATTAGGCAGGTGGTTATATATCAGTGTGTATATACAGACATATATATAGGCTGTGACGTTCAACAGCAATATATGCAGTGTGTTTCTCCTGAGATTTGCAAATGTGTGATCACAGGGAGAAGGAGGGTACAAAAAAACGTCTGCGACTGTCAGAGAGGATTAGATAAGGAAAGAAATGGAAAAACCCCAAACAGCCCATGGTCAATTCATGCTCCATCTTCCTTCTCCTCTGATCATTTATTTCCGCCATTTCCCTGGGCTCCCCCCCCAACCCACGCCCCACTCATCTTTTATTTACCAAAACAGGTCTTACAAAGCTGCAGTGAAAAATTCACCTTCCCCAGTGTGTGTGTAGCACTGGAGTGCTCACTGTTGACCTGATGCAAGTGTGTGTGTGTGTGTGTGTGTGTGTGTGTGTGTGTATTGAGAAGATAATTAAGCACCAGACCCATGGTCTTGCTCAGCAATGATTGTGTTTATCACTGAGTTTGACCATGTGACATTCCTGGCCAGTACAGCAATATGTGTGTGTGTGTGTGTGTGTGTGTGTGTGTGTGTGTGTGTGTGTGTGTGTGTGGTCTTCCCCACATCCTCCTTCTAGCCACTTCTACATGCAGAGCTAGTGGGTGTATGTGGGCCGAAGTGTGAATCATCTGCTGTATTTGGGTTCAGGCTATACTTCTCAACTAGAACAGGCTTTAAAGAAGCACTTTGTAATTTTAGATCTTTTTTTGTTGAGACTGTGTACTTCCTTTTAAGGAAAAGGAAGAGAGCTGAGCAGGGCTGGGGACTTGACTAGTTTCTGGGCCAGAAAAATGTCAACCAAAGCCTGAACTGAAGAAGCTAGTGATGTTTATTGCATAGCAATATTAGAAATCTTTGAATGTATGTAACTTGTTATACTTGTAAACATTACAAACTACACATTTAATCCTTTGAAATGACAGATGCATGTCTTAGTGTGTGTTTATGTCCCAGATGGAGCCTTTCCTTCACTCTTTGTTGTATCTTCAATGTCATCTGAATGTCACTCAGCATTGTAGAGCAGATGAGCACTACAAACAAACACATGATACATACATGTGTGTGTAAGTTATGGGCCTCTGGTCTGTGAGCACTAATAATCTCCACTGAGCCTCCTGTTCATCACACACACACACACACACACACACACACACACGCGCGCGCGCACACACACACAGATAAATTCACGTGGTAACACAGGAAGGAAAACAGCCATAATTCAATGTTATCTAAGACACTCAGCATGCAACATACGTGTGTGTGTGTGTGTGTGTGTGTGTCTCCATTCCATTCTAGGTAGCTTATCCTAATTGATCTCCAGTGGATCTGTAGTGAGAATACACACACACACACACACACACACACACACACACACACACACACACAGCTCATTTATTGTATATAGCCTGCAGATAAGGAAATTGTGAAGCACCCTTTAAAGAATGCTGGACTGCACTTCCTCACAGCCTGCAAATTAGTTACATGTACACTACTGTGTGCTCTAACCTTTAAGACAAATTTCATATGAATTTAGCTTTAGTTGTTCTGATATCTTCTGCATTAGTGTGTCAGAAGAAAAAAGTGCATTTTAAATTTCCTAACATTCATTTTCCAGAATGAATGGGTCCCTGGAGGACTAGTGGTTAGGCCTCGGTGCTCTCATTGCCCCGGCCCGGGTTCGATTCCCGGCCAGGGAACCGACCCCAGCCACCGCGCTTGCACAAAACAGTGCACTCTCAGTGCCCCTCCACAGCCCAGATAAAACGTGTCATGAAGGGCATCCGGGGTAAAAACTGTGCCAAATCAAATATGCGGACCAATGATCCGCTGTGGCGACCCCTAACGGGAGCAGCCAAAAGAAGAAGAAAAACAACATTTTCCAAAATGAATAATGGAGCACGTTTTAGATGAAAAGCTGATTGTGGAAGTCTGACACCTGCAGAGACGGATACAAGTGAGAAGTCTTCCTCAAAGTCTGAGAAAGAAAGCAGAAAGTTCTCCAATCAAACAGCTGACTTCCTAAAACTGCTTTACAGTGTATCTAATAAACGAAAAGGCAAGGACTGTTATATTTATTTATTTATTTATTTATTTAATATTTACTGCTCTTCATAATCATCTTTGACATTTACAAACCTTTTCATAATTTCTGAAAGCATGTTTCTTATAAATTGTATTTTTTTTCTCAGCACTTTATATGATGAACTAACTGTAAACATCTGCAATTACAGATATCTAGAGAGACGTGATAACATTACATTAACATTAAATTTGCTAAATGTGATCAAATGAGATTAAGCATACAGTCGCAAGTACATACCCTCGCAAAGTACGCTCACGTTCAATTCAAGCACGCTCACACTCAAGTACACACAGCTGCAAGCACACATTCACAAAGACACGCCCACAAATGCAAACACACACCCACTACCATACGCTCACCCCCCACCCCAACCCCAAAAAACACCCGCACACAAACACACTCATTACCATTACCCCCCCCCCAGGGTCGCACACTTGCACGCGCACATTCACAATCTCACACACACACACACACAAGCTCACACACTTGCAAGTTACACTCTCAAGCAAACACACTCGCAAGTACACACGCTCTCAAGTCATACACCCTCATGCAAATACACTCAAAATTTCACATATTCGCAAACACAAACGCAAGCAGTCACTTAAAAGCACACACAGACACATACAGACATTTACTTGAATGTCACATTAGCACGCAATGTGCAAATCTGTCAGTAATTACTTGTAGTTTTAGTCAAATGCCCTCTCGGGAGAGTAGCTGTAGCACACAGGCAACTAATGATCAGTGCTCGCGAGTGACTGATCTTCAGTGGAACAGGAATCATTAGCACAGGTATCGAGGCTGCTCTGTTACGCTACTGCACAATTCTGAGCTTCACAACACTTGCGTGGTCATATAATCATAAATAAAGCGCGTTTCTCTGGAAATACACCATTACCCAGAGTCAGTACAGCGTGTCACTATGAAGCACAGGGTCAGCTGTGATGGAGTGAGAAGATCAGTGGGCAGTGGATAGATTTTAATCAACCGGACTTCTTGCGAAAACTGTGATGAATTTATTGGTTGCACAATTGCACTATTTGTCCTTATAGTACACAATAAGAGAAGGGATTTATTTATAATTGCACTATCCATTACACTATATTACCAAAAGTATTCGGTCACCTGCCTTGACTCACATATGAACTTAAGTGCCATCCCATTCCTAACCCATAGGGTTCAATATGATGTCGGTCCACCTTTTGCAGCTATTACAGCTTCAACTCTTCTGGGAAGGCTGTCCACAAGGTTGAGGAGTGTGTTTATAGGAATTTTTGACCATTCTTCCAAA